ATACTTATTTACCATTACTATTATGTAATCATTTCATTCGCATTAATTTAGTCGGTAAGTATAAAAATTATTTACATACAATATAAAATTTATAATGACATGGCAGATGAAATAAGATCTTATATATCATATATTGTGATTATAAAGTAACACTCTATATGGAAAATGTGCATCTTGCAACGAAGATAATACGAATAAAGCATGGTGCCTATCATGTGATCCTGACATAGAAACAAGATGGACAAGTCGAAATAAGGATATTGATGGTTGCATAAAAAAGTTCCAACTTAGAACCTGGGCATATGATAATATAATCGAATGGATTCCATTTAATAAATTATTTGATGTTAAAGAAATTGGTAAAGGAGGATTCGGTTCTGTATATTCAGCAACCTGGTTGGATGGTATACGAAAAATTGAAGAAATTAAAATTGATGATGGTAACAACAGATATTCCTATCAAAGATTAAGAGAACTAAATAGTATCGTTGCACTTAAAACCTTGTCTGGTTCCTTAAAAGAAGTAAGTTAAATATAATTTGTTAAATATATAATGAGTGTAAATCTATTATTTAACAATTTATTAAAATTTATTTACTTGATTGTAAAGTTTGAGAATCATTCGATATGTAGGCGGGAAGGTATGCTTAAAATATACGGATTAACTCAAAACAGCAAGAATAAATACTTGATGGTATTTCAATATTGTGATAATGGAAGTCTTCACAAGTTTTTAAAAAATAATTTTCGTAATCTTACCTGGCAAACTAAATTGAAACTACTTAAAGAGATTTCTTTCGATTTAGAGAGTATTCATGGTGCAGGATATGTTCATAAAGACTTTCACAGCGGCAATATTTTACAAAATAAAGACATTAGCGAAAATCTGCAATCATATGTCTCAGATCTAGGATTGTCCAAAAAGGAATATGAAAATGATTCAAAGGATGATATTTATGGAGTTATTCCTTATGTAGCACCGGAAGTTTTATTAGGCAAAAAGTTTACAAAAGCTGCAGATATTTATGGCTTTGGAGTCATTATGTCTGAGATGTCAACTGGACAAAGACCTTTTGATGGTTACAAATTTGATGAACTTGCAGTAAAAATTTGCTGTGGATTGCGCCCTGAATTTGCTTCTGGAACTCCAGACTGCTATATTGAATTTGCTAAACAATGCATGGTGCTGATCCGAAAAAACGGCCTACTGTTACAAGTGTTGATGACAAACTTGTTGAATGGAATAAAATTATGGAAAGTTCAGACGATAATGAAATTAAAAAGCAATTTTTAGAGGCAGATAAAATAGCAAAAGAATTTCCAATTGTTTTACCAAAACATCCTGACATTATGTATACTAGCAAAATTATAAATACACAAAGCATATCAAATGCTGTTAATGCTATTAAAGGTATTTTAACTATTTAATTATGTAATAAATTCTTTATCTATTTAAGATTAATTATTTTATAATAGTTACAGAAACTTTACCAAGTAATCCGTTGAAATTCCTATTGATTGGTAAATATTAAATTTAACTTAATATTTATATTTAATCAAATTATTATTTATTTTTTTATATATATCCAACTTTAGATTATTGAATTATTTTTAATGTATACAGTATTTTACTGTAGATAAGTATTATCCTCTTTATTTTATTTTTTAAATATCAAATTAGTAAAAATAAATTAGCTAATACTAGAAAAATAGCGCTTATTTATAGTAGAATACTGTATATTTATTTTACAACAATGTTATAATACATTTTGTTTTTTAACACTATATTATGAAGATTATTATTAAAACAAGGAAAAATGCATTTGTCGTCCCCGTTACATTAATTTTGTCACGTATCATAACAAAAATGTATGTACGTACGTAAATTATATGTTATATCTGATATCAATAATGATAAGATCTATAAATAGCGAGAGATTTCCTTAAACTGGAGACTGGCATTTATGCCATTTCATTGATGACTTATAAATAGTGGATATTCGGGCTTAGGCTGCATATTTTATCTAGGAAATGAGTTGAATCAACGAGCAATATAAAATAAATAATATTGTTTGCCAAGACTTGTTATTATGTAAAAGTAAACCAATTTTATTGTTAAAAAAATAAAATTTATTAAGCAAAACTTTAAAAATATATATCTAACGATTTTTTAGAACATTACACAAATATACAATGTTGTTTAAAACGAATATATACAACGAAATTTGGTAATGCTTTTTAAATATATTTGGTTTATACAGGTATATTACGATTTAATATTAGAACTAATTATAATGTTGGTACTTTCATTTATGACTTTGATCGTTTTATCTTTCATTTATGACGTTGATCATTTTGTCTTTGATTAGTTTATCTTTATTGATGCCTTTGATCATCTTGTAACGTTTTCTTTTGCGATAATCAAATGATCTCAGAAAATGAGATTTTATCTGTTTTGAGAATTCATTTAGAAAATTTCGATTTTTGATAAATTATAATGAAAAAAATAAATATATAAATGCATGTTCTCCCCAAGACTTTTAATTCTTCATCAAATACGATATAATTCAATACAATCCAATACAGCCCAATACAATATAATAATAAATCAACAATGTATTTGAAATTTCTTCTTTTGACCATATTAATGATCTCTTACTCGGAAGCTAACTTAGTTTTACCGATAATAACTTTAATAAAAGAGATAAACCAAAAAAAAATGTGCCGGAATGCTTTGCTCTCAGCTAATTCTGAAGTCGATATAAAAGGGCAGATGTCATTTTGCTAAAATCAAGAGGGTGAAGTATAGTTGACTGGTACTGATCAGTATGGTTTTCAAAAACCAGGTACTTGGGATTATTGTTGGACAATTCAGAACAGTTGTGGGGATATTCTTTTTAATCTCACTGATTGGTTATATATGGAGTATGCAAAGGATAGTGGGTGTGATGGTTATGACGATTCAAAATCAAGTTATTATAGAAAGTGAGATGGTTATCTTGATAAAAGACATAAAGATAAATGTGAAATTGGTCCATGGGTATTAAGCCTTGGGTAATTAAAGTTAGTGAGTTAACTTGGGATTGTGATCATTATGAAGGTTTTAAATATAAAACTTGTAAGGGTAAAGATATTTATAAGGATATGGTGATTGATTATTCTGAAGAAAAACGGCTTAGTGATATGGGCCCTGAAAGTGGTCTTTATGTAGTTATTGATGGTAAAGTAAATGGGGAAACATCAATTTATTAATGAAGGTAATGTTATGATTCCACCGCCGCCACCGCCGCCAGCAGGTTCGCCAGTTCCACAACCGCCACCAACTGTTGCACCAGCAACCACTGCTGCTCCTGCAACCACAACCTAAATCAAAGAATCAATAATTATCAGTCATCGTGCATGTCAACCTAGTACACATTGTCCAGATACGATCGATATATAGTGATATTATGTTTACGCTTAAATGTTTTAAACTTTGTTGCACTCATTGGATATTCATATTTGTTCGTAAATTGATGTAGTATTTAACATAGTAAAACATGTTTGTGTAATTTTTTTTTGTATAAAATATAATTAAAATTAATTTTCATATATATTTATGTAAACAAAAATTTATACTTATGTGTTTTAATGGATTATTATAAATACTAACGGATGATCCAACATGATATAATTATTTACGCATAGTGATACGTATTAGATGTTAAATATTATATTGTGGTATTATATGTTAAATGATACAAATCGAAATATAAATTACAAAAACTAACATTGAACATAATTTAATTTTACTACTATCTCTATTGAAACCCAATATTGAGATCACGATCTTTTTTATTACTAAAACCGTAACCTCATCTACTATTAAAATTACAAATTTACTTGCTGTTGAAATCATGATCTTTAATAATACTTAATAAATAAGTTATTTATTAGTAAAACGAATTAATAAATATATCAATGCGAATTTAATACAATACATGCAGAATCTATCATTTAGATATATACGCAATAAGCTAAAATAAAATTATTCATAATTTGCTTCGGTGAAGTCATAAAAACGACACGTATCTATTATGTTGATTTTAACTGGAATGGTTAAATCTGTCATGCAGCTATCCAGTAAGCAAACAATCTACAATTAACTGTCAATTAGCGTTATTACCAGCATTACCGTTGTGTAATTGGTTCAACGTAATATTAAAGGTTAGCGCTAGAGATTAAGATAGAATATTGATTTAAGCCTTCTAAAAGTGTGACTGTGTTAGAAATATTTGATTGGCTAGCTGTAACGGACGGACGTACATACGTACATACTAAAGTTTGGAACCAATTTTATTTTTAATATGTTAAAACCGAGTTTAATCGGGTTTATAAACTCTAATACGCACGTATGTGTTTTAATAATATAAATATTGAAATAGATAGATAGATAGAAGATAGATATTTCCTAAATTATAAATTTCAATAAAGTATTTATGTACTGTACTGTACATACGTACGGGTTTACTACAGTAATTCCCTCACCACTTCACTATCGGAAGTACTATGAAATTGATTAATAACATAGATACTTCAATGCGTGAATAATTAGTAGAACCATTCAAAGCAAATTCGTAATTTCGTTTAGTCCGGATCAGTCAAAACCGCAAAAACGGCTATCTAAATAAAAACTTTGATTTTGGAAGTTTGTATTACTGGTGCAAATACGTATACTTAGTCTATACTAATACCTACATACCTCACTTAAAACGAAATCTCTTCCGAAAATCAATTTACAAACTTGTATGAAATTGCGACAAAAAAATTCAAATCATTCGTTGACCTTCTATGGAAGACGAATCTGCTGTATAAAACTATCTGCTTAACATGTGATAAGTTTAAAGTTTGAATGCACTTCACTTAAAAAAAAGCAATTTTGATTGTTCTTATTGTAAGTGGAACCGGAATTTAATATTAGTGGATTTGGAATTTCTTAAATATTTAAAGTTATAATTTTGGGGTAAAATCCATTCCATATAAACCTATACCCCAACCCTAAAATCCAAATCCACTTAAATTCCCACTTACAACATGCATCTTTGTTTATTTTAGATCGTTATAGACAATGTATAAAGGCGGTTTCGCCAGTGATGGTTCCACACGCGCTGTGAATAACGTGTCTTATTTTGTTAAAAAATATACAAAAGATTTTTTAAAACTAATATTTGCTTATAATTTATTGTGGAGATTTATGCTGAGAATTTGACTAATTTATTATTAAATTATGAAATTTTGGGGTTTTTTTGTAGTCTTTTTTTCACAGTCAGTTAGGATTTAGGGTTAGTATTATTAATAAAAGAGCATATGTGGGCCTTAGTAGATATTATAGCTTTAAATAGGGACCCCGAATCTCAGCATAAGCCGTCACATTCATTATGTCCGCTAACGCAATAAAATTAATTTGTTCTAATTTAAATGTAATGTTTAGGTTTTCCTTCTATTGTAGGCCGCTGTCGTCATCATGTTATAAATGTTTGTACCCTGATAGATTTATATTTAGGAGATGAAGGAGTAGTATCCTATTGAGCGCGGTATTGTGACGAATTGGGGTGACATGGAAAAAATTTGAAATCATGTAATTTACAACGAACTTCGTGTTGCCCGAGAAACATCCTGTACTCTTAAATGAATCGCCACTCCATTATTACTGACTGAAAAAAGCATGAATTTAACAAAAAGATGTATGAAACTAACCGAGAGAAGATGACTCAAAGCATATTTGAAACTTTTGATGAGCCTGCCTTCTATGTTGAAATCAGGTAAACTACAGTCAAACCCCTCTATAGTCACAAAAATTGGTATAATTACAAATTTATTTTCACAATTATTAATAACTATATAAAAAATAACTCTATATTAGTCAGTCACACCTCTTTACAATCACGGTTCTTTGTATCCCGAAGGTGTGACTATAGAGGGGTTTGACTGTATAATTACAATAACTTATTTTTCGTTTTATATTGATCAGTTAAATTAATTTTCATTTCATGAATAGTCCGTTCTTCCATTATATTCAACTGGTCGTACCACTGGCATTTTTCTTGACTCTGGTGATGGTGCCACTTATGCTGTACCACACTTCCCGATACTATTTTCCGTCTCGGTCTGACTGACCGTGATTTGACTGAATATCTTATAACGATTCTTATGGGACGTGGTTATTCATTCACGACCTTTTTGAATATGAAATCGTTTCTGATATTAAAGAAAAAATCCTGTTATGTTGCTTTGGATTTAAACTAGAAATGCAAACTGCTGCCCAATCTGCTTTAGAGGAATTCTATGAATTGCCCGACGGTCAAGCTATTACTATTGGTAATGAACAGTATGTCATTTTAATTATTGTAATATTTTGGTCTTTATTTATTTGAATATATGAACTTGGTGCTGAGAAAAGGGACTAAATTGACAATTTTTTAAAGAAAAATATTTTTTTGTGTTTAACTAATTTAAAATTAGTTTAGAAACCTTTTCACTTAAGGAACAAAGGCTGTTATCTTAATAAAATTTTGCAGTATACTTTTTGAAGTTTTTAATTTCTTATAATTTATTATAAAATTATAATATAAGAACCAATTCTGCAAAACTTTTTTTTGTCAATTTTATCCCTTTCTCAGCACCAAGCCCATATGCTTATATATCTATATATATTTTTTTAAACTGTAGTTTCCGTATTCCAGAGGCACTTTCCCAACCTTCTTTATTAGATATCGAAGGTGATGGTATTAATCAAATTATTCATGATTCTATTATGATATGTGATTATAAGTTTCATAAAGAATTTTTAAGAAATATTGTTCTTTCGGTGTAAATTTATTTCAAGACTAATTAAAAATTATTTTTTATCAGGTTAAACATATATAGTTTAATAATTTATCTGCATTTTACATGTAACAGATGCACACTATGCATTCTGGAATTGCAGATAGAATACATAAGGAATTTGTTTATTATTATTTTATAGTATGTAACCATATAGCAACATTTTACTGCCCACTCTTTTTTTAACTCCATATATTAACATGACTCTTGCCTAGTTAAATTAAAATTATCATAATATTAGAACATTATTTTTAAGGTAATCAATTACATAATTGTGTATGGCTTTTAACAT